CTATCTAATACATTAAATTCAACTTCTCCCGTTATCATCCACGCGGTTGGATTTTACTCAAAATTCCGGTTCGCATCAAGTGTTTGGAACTTTGGATATTGATTTGTGACATTTGTCCGTTTATAACCCAAAACAGAAGTGTCAAACATTGTTTGGATATAAGTTTGTCACAATTAATTCAACTCAATTAAACTCTCTTATTTTTTAATATATAATTAAATAATATCAATCAATCATATTCACATATTGCATACGTTTTAATTTACTATTCATCAACTTATATAATTTTAACTACGTATTATTTTCAATAATTTCTCTTATATTTTTACATCACATCAAATTTAATTATTACATTTTAAATACTATTTAATTTCAAACTCAAAATCATCCATTCACTCTACTGTTTTCAGAGTAACTCAATTTAACTAACCAAAATGGGTTAAAATCGAACAAAATTGTATCCAAACACTCGTTGAGGGGAAGGTGCTGTAAATTGTAATCAAACTAAGCTAACCAATCTTAAGGGCTTGCTTGTTTACTAATTTATGTTTTTAATTGGTTATTTTGGTTAACTAAAATTAATTTTATTATAGTTGTTAGTGAAAATTTTATGTTTGTCGTAAAATAATATGTAAGATAAACTGATTAAAATTGGTTTGATATAAAAGTAGAGGATAAATGGTTAGAATGATAGACATTTAAGATTATGATTGAATGAATAAGAAATTAAAGTTGATGTGATGTGTAAGAATTACTGATTGATATTATTTAATTATCTTGAAAATATTTAGGATGGTGGAGTTGAGTTTGAAATGAAATTAGATTTTGAATATGGATTGATTATGAGTATGAATAATTTTATAAACAAACACACTCTTAAGGTGTGTGTGATACTAACAAATCAGCTCAAAACAAGTTTTTCTTATTAATCAGTTTAATTTTAAAAAAATAATGTATATTTATTTATTGGTGGAAATTTGAGTTAATATTAAAATAAAAAAATTAAAGTTGATTTGATGTAAAAGTATAAGAAAAATGATGTGAAGCGATGATTAATGAAAATCATGTGTGTTTTTGAATAGTGAATTAAAGTTATTCAATATGTAAGAATAATTGTTTGATATATTTAATTATATTAATAATATTGAGGATAGTGAGACGAATTAAAATTAAGTTGAATTTTGAATATTGATTGAGTTTATTAATAAGCAAAACAATAACCACCACTCTTTTAGATGTCGTTTTGAGCCTACTATCCAAATCGTGTCGAAATTGAAATATGCCGTTTTGAAACTTCTATCCAAATCAAGCTGAAATTGAAATATCGACAATGCAATTAGATGTGGTTTAGTTTGATTACTTTAGTATTAAAATAAAATAGTACAACACTCGTGTATTATACGAATATTGAATTAAGAAATAATTACATCAAAATAATTAAAAATAAACATAAAAAATTTATTTTAATTTTTTCACACTTTTAAGATTGAATTGTTAGTTTTAAAATGGCGCTAGAGTGTTATACATGAACATAATAATTTTTAATCACGTTATATTTTCAAAGTTTAAGGAAACAATTCTAGTACCAGTAATAACCAAAACAAAGGCCGGGTTAGCATCGACGATTAAAAAGTGCACGGTTGGAGATCGAAAGCAACAAAGGCCGGGTTAGCATCGAAAGCAATTCTCCACATTAAAAAGTGCTTTGAAGTGGATCAAGAAGGAATCTCAAGGCTCCGGTTGGAGATCGAAAGCAACAAAGGCCGGGTTAGCATCGACGATATACTTCCTTTGGAATGCACGGAATAGGAAGATCTTTGAAAATGAGGTACAATCCCCGGATCTCATTATTCGGAAAATTCAAACCCATGTTTATAGAAATATATTTGCTTTGTATCCGAATGTTCTTGCCGACATGGAGAGAAAAGGGCTTGGAAACGGATTGGCTTAGCCTCTCTAAATATCCCTCGGCTCGTTTAGGTTTGAGTTGAGCAACCGGAGTGTGTTTTGTCTCTTTTATTTTATTTCGACTAGCAAGTGAGGGGCCGGTCCGTGGTCGCCCACTTTCGCTTTTGTATGCCGAGAAACGGTCGAATGTAAATTCATTTTGATCTATAAAATTTAATTTAACGATCAAAAAAAAAAAATAAGATATTATATGTATAGGCTAATTGCCTAAATACAATTTACAATAATCAACATGTTAATGTTAAAGATCACACATAAACTCTTGCTAACAAAATAAACCAATTGACATGTATGTTTATAGGCAAGCACAATGTTTTAAATAACGTACCATATTGACTAGTATTGAAAGTGATATCGCTTACGATAGATCGGGTGTTACTATAACCCTCTAAATGCCATTTTGGCAAAAATACTGTTTTATACTGGTTTCATACCAAAAATACCGACCAAAATATATGATATACCAAATTTAAAAAGTATATATATTTTATAATGTTTATCAATTTATTTACAAAATTCTACACTTAATTTTAACATGTTTATTTTATTATTAGTTTTTAATAAATTTTAGTGTTTATAAATAAACCAACTATCGTATGAGTAGATAATGCTAATTGTTTGTAATAAATGCCATAACATAATTGCCATGTTATCTTAATAGTGATTTGTGCAAATAATTAAGTTATTTTATTTTAGTTATCTATATTTTGCTACACTTATATGTGTCCAAACTTTAGCTTTAAATTCAATAGTTACTTGTACACTACCTATTTCAATTTAGGTATTTGAAGATATTTTATATTATTTTTTTAATCTAATGCATGAGAAGAAATTAATAAATAAATCTACTACAAAAATAAATATAATTGTACAAAAATGAAAAGATATTATGAATGAGATAAATCATTAGTATAATGAAATAAGAAAAGAAAGATTTATGTGGTTTTTAAATTCAGGATAAATTTGGTAATGAAAGTGATTTTTTTTTTTT